AAAAAAAAAAAAAAAGAACCACATAGTTACAGTGATATTCATTATAGCACTGATGGAAATAGTAACAGATCAACATAATGGTTTTAAGTAAGATAAAGCATATTCAGGAATGTTGGAGATCTGAATACACATAACATGGAAAGGTGTGTTAAATAGAAAAAGAAAGCTGTAAAACAATAAGATATAATCTAACTTTATGCCAGACACAGTGGCTCATGCCTGTAATCCCAGCACTTTGGGAGGCCAAGGCTGGAGAATCACCTGAGGTCAGGAGTTCGAGCCCAGCCTGGCCAACATGGTGAAACCCCATCACTGCTAAAAATACAAAAATCAGTCAGTGTGGTGGCGCACATCTATAATCCCAGCTACTCAGGGGGCTGAGGTAGAAGAATCACTTGAACTCAGGAGGTGAAGGTTACAGCAAGCCAAGATGATGCCACTGCATTCCAGCCAGGGCAATAGAGCAAGACCCCGTCTCTAAATAAATAAATAACTAAACAAGCAAGCTTATTAACCTTAAAAAGTGTTGACAGGCATATTCAACAATATATTGATTCTTTCTGAAAGTTGAGATGAGTGGGCCCAGCCTTCTGCATTGCCCAATCCTAAGAAGTTGTTAGTTTTAGCAATGATCACGCATTACTTCTGAAGCAGAGGAAGCAATTTTATGATGGCAAGTACCGACCAGTAAGTGGGGCAGTTGGGTGTGTTCCCATATATGAATTAACAGGCAAAATTCTTCTGGCAGTAATCTAAGAAAATGTATTAAGGGGTTTCTGTTCATTTTTTCAAATTTTTGAGTCTCGCTGTCACCCAGGCTGGAGTGCAGTAGTGCAAATTTGGCTCACTGTAACCTCTGCCACACCCATTCAAGTGATTCTCAATTCTCATGCTTCAGCCTCCCAAGTAGCTGGGATTACAGGTCAGTATCACCACGCCCACCTTGGCCTCTCAAAATGCTGAGGTAACAGGTGTAAGTCACCACACCTGCCTTGTTTGCTTTTTTAAAGGCAGAATCTTACTCTGTTGAACTACTGGGCTCAAGTGGACTTCCTGCTCCAGGCTCGGAAGTAGCTGGAACTCCAGGTGTGTGCCACTGTACCCAGCATTTTTGTTGTT